TAAGTCACCTTGTGTAAAACGTGACTCACTTCTGTATCTTAGTCCTCACAGAAGCCTGTACTTTTTGGTGATCTTGGTTATTTATCTTCTAGAATGGGGAATGATGATGAAATGTTCTAACTAGTTCTTACTCTGTCATCTTATAGTGAGAATTGTGGGATACTTCATTCCTAAGTGCCTTAACTTCTCTACATTCCCTTGAGAGTGTGAGTGTAAGTTCTCAGAAGTTATGACCTTTTAGGGGAAGTATATTAAGTTCAAAAGCTCACTAATTTGTTCAAATGGATAACTTCAATTTTAAATTCATATTACGAGTGAGATAGTTACTTTCTTGCTGAGAATGTCCTTTTTCATAGTTTTACTTTTTGGAGTTGTCAGGCAGAGTCGGACACACAATGACCTACATGTATCACTCTAGAACTGTGCTCCATTGGTTTCCAATGGCTTTTTCCCCCCAGAAATAGATGAGTAGAACTAGATGCAAGGAATTCAAAATATTAAGCACAACATCGTTCAAACATTCAAATCATTCTAAAGAAACTGTAAAACTGAAACAATGGTAAAGGTATTTTCCCTACTTGATTTCAAAATTACTTTAATAACCGAAACAATGATGAGCAGGCCTTTCCTAATCATAAGCCCCTTTCTGTAACTTGCAATCTTCCAGGCCCCCATTACTTCTTTGCTGTCAGCCTCCTTCTTCCTTGTTTCTTCTTCCACTTTCCTCCCTGCTTCCTCACTGGCTCCCACCCCCTTTGGATTTCATGTTTTCACTTCTAGTCACAGCCTGAAACCAGCCTCCCTCCAGTGTCTGGCAGGACAAGCCTGCACGTATAGGATGGAAGCTGAGCCTGTATACAAACCCAGGAAGACAGCCTCTGGCAGGAGGCCTGGGAGCTGTGATGTCACCTACATGGCCACGAGCTCCCAAGACTCAGAGGAGACATTCATGGACTCTTTCCAATGACATTATTTTCATTATACAGAGAAATTTAGGAGGACCACTCAGGATGTCCACAGATATTACTGAATTGAACAATGTAAATTCAGGGTAAGGGAAGCCAGGACTCAGTAGCTATTAAGCTGATTCTAACTTGTGGTCTAACTTGTGGTCCCTCCATGCCTGTAAGAGTTGGTAGGATTTTCCACAGTAGAATGCCAAGGCTTTCTTAAGGTACCACTGGTAGACTCAAACTTACAACTTTCTGATTAGCAACTGAGCATATTAATCATTTGCAATACTCAGTGCCTGACTCCCAAGGCAAGGGCGACAGCTGCTGCTAATGCAGGTTTTCCTTGTTAAGTACTGTGTCACTGTCCAGTGGCAGAGCAGGGAATATGGGAGACCTGGAGGTAAGATTGCTTCATTACATCATATATTGTCTGGGTTATTTCCAACCAAAACGTTTCATTGAAACTGGAGTTGGGGGTGGTGGTAGATGATCAAAAATCCTTTATAAGAGCTCTTAAGAGTTGCTTTAATTAAAAGATATCTCTGATTAGAAAATAAGTTGAGTTTATTCAATGTCTATGTCCAGGGCTTGACTTGAAAAAGCAGCTAGCCGATCTGCACACCTACCTGATAAACCGCAGATGGTGTATCAATGGGCAACAGGTACACAGGCTTGGGGCGCATCAGATTTGCACTCTACATTTAAGCCGTGTGACCTTGAACAAATTACTTCATTTCTTCAAACCATAGCTTCTCTGTAAAAGATAGGAACCTAAAAGTTTACCACTCAGGGTTATTGACATCATGTCTGTGAAAGTGCCAAGCACAGAATCTGGCAGAGCAGACATGTAATAAATGGTAGTTTTATTTAATTTTATGTCATTTCAAAGGCGGGGCAGAGGTAAAACCTTGTTATTAAGAAATAAGAATGTGATAACCATAATTTTGCGGCCTGCAATTTTTCCTGTTCTTTAAGGAAACTGTTTACCAAAGCTGTATTTTCAGTTAAAACAGATAGCAGGACCTTTTATACAATTTCTCCTACCCAACGTTTACCTTCAGTAATCAGCAATCACCATGGGTCATGTGTTGTTGCTTCACAGGACACTGCCATGTACGCGTCTGCAATGTTAAGTGGACAAACTCCAAAATCAATGTTGAGAGAAAAATGCCCATGCTCACATGTAAATGTCAAGCTCTCAAGTATATTAGGAGAAAAGATAGTACTCAGAATAAATTAAATCAAGTCAATCAGAAATTTTACACACTAAAGAAAATTTATGAAGAAAGCTTAAAGGAAGAAATGATACTTTCTTCCATCAAACTCTCTGTGACTGCCTTTCCAGTGTTCTATCAACTTTTTTTTTTTAGTAGGCGGGATAAAAATCACAAGGGACTGCCACTGCTTTGTTCACTATTTCCTTTTTGGTAATAATGCAGCTAATCTAGTGGAAAAAGGAACTAGTGAGAGTGCACCCAAAATTACAGAAGCCAGTGCAACAAGAGAAATCTGTAACAGCTCAGTCCTGAGGAGGAAACAAAAATAGGAAATTATGATAAAAATGTCTTTGCATAAGGCTGTTAGTCAAATATCTAACTGTTCAAGTGGTTGGATGCATTTCCTATCTAACGGATGAGAGGCTGGAGAGTTCAGGTCATAGCAGCATAGGCTCAGGTTACAGCAAAAAGCCCTAAGTCATTTCCAGAATGGATTCAAAGCTGTTCCTCCTGTCCTCTGTACAAATGCCATTGCGGCAGTGTCAGAAGAGGGGCGAGTTTCTAGAACAGACTTCGTTGCTGACTTCAGCACGAGTCTCTGAGAAGGCCCAGTTCATCTGGCATCCTGAAAAGCTGAGTAGGCAAGAAGCAAGCATAAACTTTCCTGTGGAGCTCCAACCACAAAGAGCTGTCCTGTTACACCCAAAACTCAGGCACATCCTTAAGTTTCTGTTGTTGTTGTTCATTGTCGTCAAGTCGAGCATGACTCATAGTGACCCTATGAACAAAACTATCAACATTTGTCAAAGTTCATAGTTTCCAGAGGCATGTTGTTTAGGAAGTGGATGCCACTCCTGCTTCCAATCTACTCAAACCAAAAAAGGGGTTTGGGGGAGGCAAAGAAAGGGGGAAAAACAAACAAACAAACACCTCAAAAGCCAAAAACTAGTTAGCCAGCTTTCTACAATTCAAACAAGCTCAATAATGTTAAATACATACAATAATGAAGTCTTCATTATTTTTCTCCTCAAATACTTAAATAACCTATCTAACTTGAGCATATCATACTTCCCTATTCTTCTACATTGTACTATTTCTGTTCATGTTAAGACATTAGTAGGGTGTAGCTGCCCTCTACCTTAATTACTGAAGGCCGCAGTAAAGAGTAAAAAGTCACAGCAGTCTCTAGAAGCTTTTTGTTAGGGCACAGGCCATTTTAAAGACCGAATCCTTATAGCTTCTATTGGAAGAGTTAAACTTCAACAAGGACTTCCTATATTCCATTTTATACATAATAAGCAATATAAATATTTAATTCAAATTTAATAACATATTTCTTTTTAAAAGAAAATATTCCTTTTCCATTATCTCCAGAATTTATATTCATTCTTTGCTATGTGTTTCACCACTCCACAAATTACTTTTCTGCTAAAATTCTGTGGGATCCCTAGAAAGAACTCAAACAGGGCCCCAGAAAGAAAAACTGAACAGCCACAGAACAAACTCTTAGAGGAGGTTGTCCATTTCCTGAGCTAACCCACTTTCTTCTTCAGGCATTTCCTTCTCTTTACCAATCTCCTTTTTAGAAATTAGCTTCAAAGGCTTCTTTCAAAATATACTTTGGGGTCTAGCACCTAAATTATAGATGAAGTCCAATGGCCATGATATTTTTAGTATAATCACTGAAGAGATATACAATAAAACCTCAGATTAAATGTCACTAGTATGAGCTCTGGTGGCATCTGTGTACTGGCAAGAAGCTGCACTGCAATTCTGAAGGCACACAGTTCAAAACCACCAGCTGCTCTGTGGAAAAAGAATGTGCAGTCTCCTCCCATGTGATTAACTTCCTCTGAAACCCCATAGGAGTCAGCTATGGGTCGGTTCCAACTCTACGGTACACAACAACAAGAACAAAATCCAAGAAGGTTGATAGTAATGGCAGGTGATGCATTGGTAAAAGAATATTCATCATTTTGGACTAGATCTGTGCTTTGAGAATATACATGTCAGTAGACTGAAAAATTGACACAAAAATATTCACACCTCCTCCCTTTGGAAAACTCTATCTTCTATGATAAGGAAATCAATCTTTTTAACCTTACAGACCCTATAACCTTAGAAATAAAACTGAAAGTCTTGTAAGTATTAAACTTATATATTTTCTTAGAAATGCAACTTCTCAATAAGTACTGTCTTAATTGTAATCAAAGCAAATGCATGATACTAAACACAATTGGTATACTACAATTCTTCTGTGCTAGCAGATTTAACTATCATTTAAATGGCAAAATAAGTTCTTACCTATAAAGAAAACATACCAAGCTTATTTACCAGAAATGATTGACAAGAGAAAAAAGATAGACCAACAGCACAAAGTCTCTTAAAATGTTTATTTTTGTCAGAATAGCTGACAATTTGCTATATGTATTTTGGTTTACGATCACAATGAGCCTTTTCCTTCCTTTAAAAAATCCTTTCAAAATATCTCAATTCTTGAGGTAAAGAACTTAAACTAAAAAGAAAAAAACTTGATATATTTTAAGGAAAAAAATTCTTAAAATTTCTTTAACTTGATAAATAGATATAAACTCCTTTGTCTACTCTGGTGGACATAAATGAACATAATACAGCAAGGTATCCAGTCACTGCTTGGCAAACCAAAGGCGAGAACTACTCACATACATGTTCTACTCAAACATAGTGCAACACCGCCACATTCAAACAGACTTTTTTTTTCTAAACAGTTACCAACACTCTTCTGGCAAAGATAAGATTCTGGAATGGCAAAAGCAACACAAGTTTTAGATCCCAAATCTCTGGAAGGGAATTAATCTGAGTCTTCCTCATCAATATAGTCTTCGGCATTGCTTAATGTCCGAACTGCATCTAGACGGAATGGGATGGGAAAGCAAGAGAAAAATTACAAAAGTGTTTTGATATATTTTTTTTCCTTCCTCACTTTTGACGCTTTTGACAAGTCTGCAAACAAAACCTCCCCTATGATCTAGGGACTGCTTGAGATCTTTTTCTATTTATCTTTTCAGCCTGTTTGTGCTGCTACTCTAGTCGACAGACACATTAATCTGCTTACACATTCACTCACTCCCTCACTTAGTGCTGCTGAACCAGAACCACTCAGCGTTAGCCCTCTCGCTGGGTTCTGAGGCTGTAAACTGCAAGGGAGGAGATTGCTCATCTTCTTTCCTCTCAGCTGCGGGTGTATTCAAACTAGTCAAAGCCTCAGGGTTAGCAACTCACTGCTTACATACTACACCGCCAGAGCTTCTGTGTATTTGCTACACGCAGAGAACAGGGTGCTAGAGTAGCATGACTAGTTCCAACAGAAAGCCACTACATGCATCATGACCGAAGCCGACACACCAGAAACCACCACTATGGCCATGGCGCTCGCAACCTCCTCTCCACCAGTGACTAGCGCCTCGTGGCTCAGCTGGTCCACAGCCTGCCGCCTTATCTGAAGGCAACATCACCAGGCAGGATGCAAACTGATAGGGGAAAAGGAAAAGAAAGAGTAAGAAAATAAAGACGCTTCAGGTTCATTTTAGGAAGCATTGTTAAATTACGTATACTCAGACATGAAATGAAAAAGAGATGGAAATGAAAAAAATGGAAATAACTCAACCCATCAAATGTTAAAATCAACTTTGAGTAGGGCTCAGTGGAAGACAGCATCTCATCAACTGTTTACTTATTCAACTTTCTAGTCAAATTCCTACAGCAACGAGTTATCTGAGGTTTAATTTTATGGAGTAAAATAAAATGCAAACCTAGGCATGTCCTTGGGGAAAACGTCTCACCTCCTCACAGGCGTTGAGGGTGACTCGTCTCCTCACCACACTTCCCACCCACCCATACCTCTGGTCCACACATCTTGATCCCCATGACCCTTGTGTACTCTTGTCACATAACAAACAACAAACCATCGGTGGTTTATATATGGCAAACAGAAAGTTAAAGACAAAAACGTACACTCTGTATGACCCATGCACATGAAGTTCAAGAACATAAGCTAAACAATGGTTACAAATGTTGAAATAGTGCATATTTTTACAGAGGATACTGAGGGAGGATTTGGGGCTGCAGGAAATGTTTTCAATCTTGATCTGACTTGTGGTGTGTAGGTGTAAATCCAGTAAACAATTCACTAGTCAGAACACTTGAGAATGATGCACTTAATTTTAAGCGTACCTTAATTTATTTATTTTTTTAATTGAAGGGCTGACCTCACAAATATAGCTCCATCTCCACCCTCCCAATATTCTAAGCAAGCAAATTTGTCTTAAAGGAAGTGCAACTAGCATTCCTTCCTTCAAGAACAGTTCCTTAGGAGGCAAGAATGGTAAAACCTCACCTCATACACTTTGGGAATGTTTTCAAGAGGGGCTAGTCCTTAGGAAAAAAAGATCTTATTCTGGGAAAGGCAGAGGATGAGCGAAAGAGAGGAAGCTCCTCAACAAGCTGGATTGACAGTGACTGTAATGATGGGACCCAGCATATCAGAGATGGCAAGGATGGTGCAGGATAGGACAAGATTCAGCTCTGCTGTTCATTGAGTTACTATGAGTAACAGTCAGCTGGAATGCACATATAAACAACTAAAGACAAAGTCTCCAGTTTGGAGGCTCATGTGTGAAGCAGTTGGATTCTGGAAGGTGGGTTCTCTTGTGTTGGTGGAGGGTTGGATGTGGACTGTTTGGCTGGTTTTTATTTTGTCCACAATCGTGTGAGCTGACTGGATTTAGCTAACAATGAGCTATGGGCTGGAAGTCTCTTGTTTAAATCAACCACGATCTGACGGGCAATCCTTTCAATTTAAATGTTGGTTGGGCTCGAGGGCCAGTGTTACTGTGTTTGGCACAAACGTTCTCCTAAATGAACAGCACTGATCTGTCCATTTGCTGTACTGAAGTAAGTTGGGTTTGCTGTGATCTTGAATGCTATGCCTCTGGTGTGTCAAATGCCTTAATGGTTATCCATGATGGACAGTGTTTGGTGGAACTCCCAGATTAAGACTGCTTTGAAAGCAGGATTGGCATTCACTTCCTAAACAACCTGCTTCTGGAAACTATGAACATCAGAGAAACGATGATAGTTAAAGAACAGGGTTCAAATCTTTTGTTCATAGGGTTGCTATGAGTCATAATCAACCCGACAGCACTTAACAACAACAACAACCCTTCTTGGTAATAGTACCTAGTGAATTCTTTTTTCATAGAAATCCAAGACATTGCTCTTTGAAGGAGACAATCAGCTGCATACCAATTTCAGACAAACTAGGGTCAAGTTAATGATCTAAAACTTTATTAACTGGGTTACTGGTGGGATGAGCAAGAAAAAGATAAGCCATCTATGAAAATAATTTCTTGGTTTTGAGGAGTCCTGCAGTTATGTCATTTAATGAATTGGGTTTTTTAAATATCATAACTTTAGGCAGGTAGACTAAAGACACTTGAAGTAAACCTTCTGGTCCTAATTGAGAAGGGGGGTGGGGGCAGAAAAGAGAAGGGTTTACCATCTGCCTTGGCCAGCTCATGCTGCTAATGTAAAGGCTTCAGCTCTGTGAGATCTGAGCAGATCTTGGTCATCATGACCCAGCTTATCATTTATATGAGACAATTACAATGTTCAGCTCATACAAAAGCATTCTATTGGCTAGGATGTTCTAAAGGTAGCCATAAAACTACAGGAAATCAGTGGCACAGAGGGAAAGTTAGGCCACTCTCTTACTTCCTTCCCTAAGGAAAGCGGTAAAGAGATGGCAGATCACAAGCAAAAGTGGTCCAAGAGAGTGACTGCTCAGGCAGTAGTGCAAACAGAGCCAGGAAACACAGCTCAGCTGCTAAATATCAGTTAGCAGAACCTATATGAGTAACTTGTAAGAACTATTTGTTCTCTTATAAGGATAAATACTGCATAGAGCCATGTGTATGGGGACCCAAGGGTGAAAGGGGTGGGAATAAAGGTGTGAAGGTCAGCAGGAGGGGATATCATAAGGTCACACAGTTTGGTGGGTTGGAGGGGGATGGGTAAAGGAAATGGGAAAGATCCTACAGGAATCTGAAAAGACAGGGTAATAAAGTGCATGGCTTAATGGTGACTGATGTTATAAAAACATAATGAGAATGAGTGTATAAAACACAATGTGAATGAAGGATAGCGTGAAACCCAATGTATACAAATTGCATACAATTTGTATGCAAATCAATGTAAAATTTAAAATAAATAATGTAAAAAAATTAAAAAGAAAAAAAATTTGTTCTGCTTTTGTTGAGAACTGGTTTATCCGAAATTAGAAGAAAAAAATGTGGGATGGGAGGAAGATACATCTGAGGTAAAGGACAAACAAGGATAGAGTTGTGTGGAGAGCTGAGATGGGAATTTGAAGTGGTAAGTGAGGTGGGTGATTTTGGACAGCTTGTTTAGAGATGGTTTCTTCATTTTGAAAGACTAAAGCAGTCACTCAAGCTGGCCCACAGATTTTATCTCGTTTGTTCCAGGAATGGTATGTGGACAGCATAACTTTACTTATTCCAATAAAATGATGAGACACACCTGAGGGAGAAACATGTGTTTGAAGGGCTTAGAAACTAATGAGAATCCAAGTAAAATTACAAAAACAGAAAAGTAATCCAGATCTCATTACACAGTTTTGAGAACTCCGAAAGGAATAATACCCTCAAGTTAAAATGAAAATGAATGCATTTAGTGCCTATAAGGGAAATGTGTTTTATGAAAAGTTGGTTGCTTTGGTGATTTTTTAAGCCAGCATAGGTCATTCTAAACTTTTGACACTAAAGCACTTTTTTCCTTGTTGTGCACCATTGAGTCGGATCTGACTGGCACAGGAGGAGATTGCCCCTCCTTCTCCAGCAGAGCATCTGGTGGATTTGAACCACGTGCCTTTTGAGATTGCAGCACAGCTTCTTGCCATTAGGCCACCAGAGCTCCCACTAATGCACTATTAATAAAGCTTTGGAATGTGAGATGACAATGAAAAAGAGCTGCAAAAAAGTGAGTATTACATTATGCATATTTCTTTCTAGAGAATGAAAGCTTTTTATGTGTCAGTTGTTGGTTTATGCTTCCAAGTCACATTAATGAGGGAGCTCCGGTGGCCTACTGGCCATCTTTCAGGACTTACAATGCTATAATGAATGAACCATTTGGGAACGTACTTAGTGGGCCATACTGAACAGATTCTAGGTTCAACCCAAAGATCAAATAACCAGCCAGCCTCTGAACAGTAATCATGAATGATTCAAGTATGTTTAATATGATTCCTTTCAAAGCAACTGTTCTAAGTTTCCATCATTTCACATTTGCTCTCCCGTATCAGTAGATACTTTTATCTTTAAGAAAGCACATTTAGATGGAATAATTTGGAAAATAAAAACAATGGCCACATGACATGAGGAATATTATCCAGCTCACTGAGTTATAAGTATGTAAAAGTTCTGAACTGGTAAATGTTTTGTTATAAATATTTTGAGCACAAAGAAAATATGCCTATCCAATATGTTTAAAAAAAAACAAAAACATCATCCTACAATGAACAGATTCCAAAATGTTTAGCAAAGTTTAGAACAATTTTTATGAGAGTTTATTAATACTTTTGTCTTAAATAAAAGCAAAATATAGTCATTGTGCTATTCAAGGCTTAATTTAAAATAATTAATAATACCATAAACATGAATCTGAAACAAGGGAATGAAGACCTTGGTTCGCTGACAGAGAGGGTAAAGAAAGTCAAGGTAATGAAAATCTGGTTGCAAGAAACAAAAGGGAGGAGAGAAAATGTAAACAAAAGTATTTTTAAAAAAATAAATATAAAAACTTGCTAAGATGCATGCATGTAGTCATATGGCTTCGTTTTTGGAGGTTCCAGTTTAGACCAAAGATGTAACAGAGGTTCCAGTATAGACAAAGATATAACATTAAACTTCGGAGCCACTGGAACAGTATATCAAGAACACTTCCCCTCAACACTACATTGCTAAATCTTGGTCACAAAGGCACCAGGAAGAAAGGAGATGGAGTCCACATACCTGTGCTTTGCTTCTTTTTAAGGAGAGACGCACAGGCGGCATTCGTAGCCATGTCCAGTGCCAGCTTCTTCTCGTTGTTTCTTAGGTCTGTTCTAGCACCTTTCCCAACACAAGAGGAGGCAATTAGAGGTGTTTGGAAAGACTAGATAGTCAGTCAGCCAATCTCTCTGCAATCAGAAAGAATCAGCAAAACACAACAGTTCTGGCCTAGACATAAACTTTCTCAAAAGAGTAGAAGTCTACAACAGGAGACCAACATCTTTAATTGGGTGGGTAGCTTAACACATGAGTAAATTATGGTCAAATAAGCATAGCATTTCCCTCAGAGTCCCTATAGGATTAAGTGGACATGAACTCCGCAATATGGGGCTGACTAGTCCACGATATAAAGCCCAAATCACCAGTGAGACTTCATGGTGGCAACTGCCTCAGCAAGAGCGTTTTGATGATTAAATTCCAAACGACCTTTGCTCCTGCTCACTATAATCTTTGCAAAGGACCAAGGGAACTGAGTTGGAGAGACATTATAAGCAAATTCAGTGCAAATTACTAGCATGGATACATAAGAAAACCCAGAGGAAATTCTGGTTCATATATAGTCCATTTTTCTATGCTTTTTTTTAACTTGTCCTTTTGTATTTAAATGTATATACAAAATTCATGAAAGCATTCTCAATTAAGCACTTAAAAGGAGAAATTAATTTCATTCCCAATCTTCCTTGTTCCCACCTGCAACCATCTCCAGAGTAAGCATTCTCCATGGATGGGTGGGATTTCTTGTTCCTTAATGTGTATCAATGTGTCCACAGACATTTTATGTGCACATATACTAGATAGATCACACCACATATATTGTTCTGTAATTTTTACAAAGTGTAACATACAGTGGCATTCAATTCTTAGCAATATATTTTCAAAAGGTTAATTGTAATAATACATTAAACTCAGTATATGTTAAATATTATCACTTCAGTACATAATCATGCAAAAATTGCGATGATATTTTACCTTTTCCCTCATTAAAGTTTGCACAACTGAATTCAGCAAGCCTCACTTCAAGGACTCAATAGCTCACGGGGCTGATGGCTGACCTGTTAGTGCACTTAGATTCTTTCCGAGGGTCCTGGAGTTTACATCATTCATATACTTAAGAGAAGACAATTTCTCTTATGTATTTCAAGACATTACTAAAAGGATCCCTGATAGTTCAACAGTGTGACTTGGGGTTCAAACTTTGTAACAGATGTCAAGGCCCCCAAGTGGTATAGTTCAGGTGTTTACTACAATATGCCTGGACCAACGTATGGGGTAAGTAATACTTGTGGGACAAATGGACGAATGGATGGATACTCAGTCTACAATATCACTTTTAAGTCTAACTTTGTATAAAAACAGAAACTTTAGGGGTTGACATTCATCTCTGTACATGCAGCATCTGTTCAGGGCGAAGGACATTTCAACATCTGACAAGGACTTCCTGTGAGAAGAGTCCTCAGGAACTTTACTCAAATAGCTTCCTCAAACAGAATCCTCGCATACACATACTCATGCACAACTTCCTTCTACTGCTGTGTAATCATGGAGAAATGGACAGTAAGTCATTAGGAATGTTATACATGTAATTTTAAACCTTCCCATAATTTTAACTTATAACTAAAAATTTAAACACATCAACCTCAAGCATCTCATCTCACACAGTATAATAACTGCTATACTGACAAAATGATGATTGCAGCTCAGTTTTAAGACAGCAAGGATCTAACCAAACCAGCTCATGGTGACATTCCCTCAGTTCCAAGACTATACAGCTTCATGGGAGGAAACGGCCTCATCTTTCTCCCACATGGTAGTTCTGGACTGTTAAATTTTCCATTAGCAACCCAACACACCAAATGACCAGGGCCCCAGTTTAAAGACAAGGAAGCTTAATTCTTTCTAATGTTTCAAATGCTATGATTGGATAGAGTTTATTTTTTTGTTTTTTAATTTTTTTAAATTCACTGTTGCACATTTTCGTCTTCCTGCCCAGCCCTCCCAACAATGTACCCCTTGTTCCAGATTGTTGTTAAACATATAATGCCTAATCATGGATTCCTTTTAGACAGTTCTTCCCCTCATCTATTCTACTGCAGTGTTCATTATGTACCTACTCTTCTCTCATTCTCTCTCAACATTCCCCATGTCAGTCCTATTTTATAATATCAGTGTTATACAGTATTTATCTTTTTGTGACTGAGATATCTTACTCAACATAATGTTCTCCAAGCTCCCCCAAGTTGTATGATGTTTTACAAGTTCATTGTTTTTCAGTGTTGCATTATGATCCATTGTGTGAATGTACCACAGTGTTTCTATCCATTCGTTTGTTAATGGGCACTTAGGTTGTTTCTAACTCTTTGCTATTGTGAATAACGCAGCAATAAACATGGGTGTGCAAGTATCTGTTTGAGTTGTGCATGGACCTGGTTTCTGTAGGATATATTCCCAGTAGAATCGCTGGGTCAAATGATATTTCTATTTCCAACTTTTTGAGAGAGTGTCAGACTGCTTTCCATAGTGGCTGTACAATTTTACATTCTCACCAGCACTGAATAAGAGTTCCAATCTCCCCACAACTTCACCAGCACTTGTTTGCTGCCCTGTTGAACTTTGCTATTGTGGCTGCGTGTAGTTTATTTTTAAATTAAGCAAGAGCCAGATAAGAATAGAAGAAACTTTACCTTTTGCCAGAAGCAACTGGACAATGTCTGCATAACCCTTCCAGGCGGCAGCATGCAATGCTGTGTCCCCCAGCTTGTTCTACAGTGATAAAAAGAGAAAGCAATATTTTCAAAATAGTGAGTAAAGAAAAAGAAATACACTGGGTAGGTTTATCAAGTAAAACCTAACATATAAATTACCATATCATTGTTGTTGTTATGTGCCTTCGAGTCGCTTGTGACTCATAGCAACCCTATGTACAAGAGCCCTAAACACCATTCTATCCTGTGCCAACCTCGGCGTCTCAAACACACTCATTCCCACCACTCTGCTCACAAAATCGATCCATCTCATTGAGGGTCTTCCTCTCCTGCGCAGCCCAGCCACTCTCCCAAACATGATGTCCCTCTCTAAGGACCAGTCCCTCCTTGCAATATGTCCAAAATATGTCAGACGAAGCTTCAGAATCCTTGACTCCAAGAAGCATTCCGGCTTCACCCTCTCCAGGACAAACCTGTTTGTTCTCCTAGCAGTCCATGGTATATTCAACATTCTTCTCCAGCACCACAGCTGAAAGGCATCAATTCTCTTTTCTATCATCCCTATTCACCGTCCAACTCTCCGATGTATAGCACGTAATTGCATAGACTAAAGCCTGGATCAGGTGCACCTTAGCCTCCAGCCTGACATCACTGCTCTTCAGTACTCTTCAGAGGTCCCTCACAGCTGACTTTCCCAATGCAATTTGTCTCCTGATTTCCTGGCTGCTGTTACCAAGAGTGTTGACTGTGGAACCAAGTAAACTAAAACTTAACTATCTCAACCTCTTCACCATCCATACTGATGCTGCCAATTGGCCCAGTGGTGAGAATCTTTGTTTTCTTGATGTTGAGCTTCAATCCATATTGAAGGCTGCAGTCCCTGACCTTCTGCAGCAAGCGCTTCAGGTCTTCCTTCATTTCAGCAAGCAGGGTTGTGTCATTCGAATAACGCAGGTTGTTGATGACTCTTCCACCAATCCTGATGCCACATTCCTCCTCATACAGCCCAACGTCTTGGATGATCTGTTCTGCATACAGACTGAAAAGGTATGGAGACAAAATACAGCCCTGATGAACCCCCTTCTTGATTTTGAACCATGTAGTGTCTCCTTGCTCTGTTCTGACAACTGCCTCTTGGTCCAAGTAAATTACCATAACCATATAAAATTCCAAAGGGCACAGCAAAGGGAACTCAAGTGATGAGAGTTATTTCTGGAAGACAAGAGATGGAGTCTGCTGAGCAAAGGCAGAAGTGCAGGTGCCGACAGCTAGAGAAATCATGGGCAGTAAGGCCCACAGAAGCCTGTTAAGAATCAGGAACTGAGGGTCTCTGGAAACACTGGGGCAGGACTGAGTAACCGACACTATGGTACACAACAACAACAAAGTATAAGGAAAAGGGCATCAATTTTATGTTAATGATAATGGAAAGATCTGCGAAAAGATAATGAAAAAGATTGTACAACCTGAAGATGAAAATTAATTAAACACAGAAGTTGGCAAGATGGCTTATGTTTTATCATGTACATTTTCACCACATTAAAATAAATGATTCTTTTAAAGTATAGAGTTTTAGAGATACCAAAGAGGGGAGGACCTTAAGTATAGAAACAAAAAGGTATTTAAGGAAGGAGCATAACAGATTGTATTAGTAGTGAATAACAGTCAAAAGGTCATAATAATGTAAACATATGTAGAAATACAGCCTCAAACTGTGATATGACCACATGGTCATACCTGTAAAAAGACTGGCTTCTGGGATATTGAAGCTAAAATCTGGGACTCTGTGGGGCAGCTAAAGAGATAAAGCCTTCCCCTACCAAACAGGAAACCAAGCTGAGGCCTCAAGCTGATGAATTACTATTAATTATGAGTCTGCTCCATAAATGGAATTTTTATCAATGTAAATTATAAGCACAAGAAGAAACAAAAGTGGAAATATGATGAAAGGTGAGATAAGCATTCTGGATTTTATACGATTTAAATGTTAAAGCAGTATTTTGATTTCAAATATGACATCAAATAATAAATGAGAAAAGGGCAGGTCCAGATGCCAAGAATTTGTCATGCCTATAAGTGAGGCTGTACTAAGACGACCAGGCTGGTGTGTACATGACAGCAGGGGTGGCGGGCTCACCTGTTGGTTCAGTTCAATATTTGGCTGAGTAAACAGCATTTCCACAATATCTGCAATCCAAACAGAAAAGATGTTATTAAAAGAAAGAGCCTGATAAAATTAGACATAGTAAGAGTTCTAAAAAAGAAACTCTTTAAAGCAAGCTGCAACATTAGTCATTTAAGAAGATACTTCTAAAGCTGTCACGATCTGTATAAACACAAAAAATTAGAGATGTGGAAAAAAATAGATTTAGGAAAATATTCTTTTATTTCAAAGAAATTTAGCTTCTCCATTTCCACAAGACATCTATTACATAAATAAATATTTCTGCATTAACTATCATATTCAGGATTCAGATATCTAACTTGTGTTACATTCATTAAAATAAAAAAGGCTTCTGTGGGAAGCATTCATGAATTTTTGCTGGCTAAGAATTGCAGCATTATGATAGATGGTAAAGAGACTGAGATTGTTAACAGCTTTAGTTTGCTTGGTTGGCTCCACAATCAACACTCTTGGTACCACAAGCCAGGAAATCAAAAGATGAATTGCATTAGGAACATTTGCTGTCAGGGACCTCTCCAGAGTACTGAAAAGCAACAATGTCAATCTGGAGACTAAGATGTGCCTGATCCAGGCCATGGTCTTCACAATTACTTGCTATGCATCAGGAAGTTGGACAATGACTAGGGATGACAGAAAGAGCCTTTGTGTGTGGTGCTGGAGAAGAGTGTTTGTTGAATATACCATGGACTGCCAGGAGAACAAACAAGTTTGTCCTAGAGAGGGTGAGACCAGGCTGGTCCTTGGAGGCAAGGAATCTGGGGCTTCGTGTGACATACTTTGGACATGTTGCAAGGAGGGACCAGTCCTTGGAGAGGCACATCATGCTTGGGAGGGTGGAGGGACAGAGGAAGAGAGGAAGACCCTCCATGACATAGACTGATTCAGTGACTGGGGTGATGGGTGCGTCAGAGCCAATAGGTTGGCACAGGGTAGAGCAGGTTTCAGGGCTGTTGTACATAGGGTTGTACCCAGGGTCGCTATGAGGTGCAAGTGACGTAACGACACATAACAACAACATGGCATGGGCTGCCAAAAAAGCAAATGAATCTATCTTGGAGGAAGTGCAACCTGAGTGCTCCTTAGCAACAAGAATGGTGAAACTTTGTCTCATATATTTTGGGCATGTTGTCAGGAGGAGCTGCTAGACCTTGGAAAAGGACATCAGGCTGGAAAAGGTGGAAGGTCAGAAGAAGAGTGGAAGACTCTCAACAAGATGGACAGATACAGTGGCTGTAACAGTGGCCTTAAGCATGCCAGAAACTGCGAGGGCGATAAAGGACAGAACGGGGCTCATATCTGCTCTTCACAGGGTGGCCATGAGTTTAAGTCTACCTGACAGCACCTACAACAACAATGCTAATAATCTGCTGGCTTCCTGTCTTGTCCTTGTTTTTATGTAGGAATAGGTAGAAAGTAAGGAGATGGGTAGATGTTTAGTCAAGTTAAAATATGTCTAAAATGTCAATTTTATTAACTGATTATAATCATGTATCAACAAAATCACTAAAACAGTCTTCCTCCTGAGTTTAACAGCTTGCCTCAGCTTAAAACAACAAAACCATACTTCTAAAAAATTAAGGTAGTGAGCCAATCCTGGCCCCTTCCTCTGTAAGAGTAGATAGGAGGTTAGCTTTCATATGGCTGCTGTTTTCTCGTAATTCTTCTAGGCCAGAGAGAGGAAAAGAAGTTTCCAGTCTTTCAAGGCAGAGTGGTTCACACAGTGAGACTAAGCAACCACACTCCCACACCCACTGTTTCACACTCACTGTTTTCACTGAGGTTCCGGAACAAACACTTTGGCTGATGTTTAGAGGGGTCACAAGAATAACCAGAGCTTTATTTCATTTTTCTAATCTGACAGCCTTGGCTGAGGCACATTTTCAGAGGCGTGGACATGAATGGCAGAAAGAAAATCTGAATACCTTTGTGGCCTCCGTGGCAGGCCCAGTACAAGGCGGTGCTCCCGGCTTTGTCTAAGCCATTGACTCCAACTCGGTTGTCCAAACACTCTCTCAACCAGCTCAAGTTGCCTGGAAGAATTTTACATTTATAAAGACACCGCAAAAGAAGATTTTTATTTTTACTTTGCTTTTAAATCCATTTCATCCCACACAAAGCTCCATTTGTAATGGATTAATCAGCAAGTTTCAAATTAAGGCATGGCCACTAATGCATTCATTTTGGTACATTCTGATGTGCAGTTTATTAATAGAAACCATTAACATCAATTTTTAATGGTGGGTTAATGGAAAAATTGTTTTTAATGGATCTACTTAAAGTATTTCTGCTTTGTAAAAATAAAAATTTCTTTTATTTTCTTTGTACTATTCTGGAATTTGGTGACAAATTGTCAAACCTAAAGTCATCAGGCACTTTTGATAGTTATATTCAAAATGCTTTCCAATTCTTACAAGAAAAGCAGCATTAAATTATCCACTCAAAGCTGTTGCTCTATAAAACTAAAGTATAACTATTCATTTCATACCCTTAGGCTAATGCCAGTCTTCAATTCAAAACTCAAAAACCACAGCTGACCCTCCAGCAGGTTTACCAGGCTGTAAATCCCAAGGGAGGTGAATGCGCAACTTTCTCCCACAGACACCAGTGGGTTCGCATTCCTGGGCAGGAGATTCAGGCTTCCTAGTGAACTGTAGTTAGGAGAGGATTGCCATTGTGGAAGTGTGAGTGTTTTTCTGTGTGTGTCTGTGTGTAGCTGTATGTGTTTCTTGCTCTCGCGCTCGCTCTCTGTGAGTGTGTGTGAGAGTGTGTGTGTGTGTGTGTGTGTGTGTGTGTGTGTGTGTGTGTGTGTAGGGAAGTGTGAGGGATACAGCAAACAACAAAGAAGCTGGGCTAGCAGTACAACTCCCTACGGACTACACTGATGTTAATTGAGCTTATCAGAAATTCTTAGAAGTATCATCAAGTAGTTTTCTCTTTGTGACAACCTAACCCAGTCATTTTCTTTTACATCTTCAGATTTCAAAAAGATCTCAAACAGAATGAAGTAGAGCTCACTGAAAGCTTACAGCTAACTCTCCACTATCTGAAGTGTAGCTGATCAACAACAGGACTGCTGACATTTAGGGTCATGCAATTCTTTGTGTTGGGGATTGCCCTGGGCTCTGTAGAATGTGTAGTAGCATCTTTAGCCTCTATCCAAAAATACCAATAAAAACCCCTCAGACATGACAGTCAATATGTCTCCCCCAAACCAGCCTCCACCAAGTCATTCTGACTCATAGAGACCCTTCATCAGGTTTCCAAGCCGTATATCTTGATGGGAGGAGACTGCCCATCTTCCTGCTGTGAAGCAGCTGGTGGATCTGAACCAAAATCTCTCTGTTAACAGCACAACACATTGTGCATTTTGCAACCAGAGCTATTTAAAATGTCTCCTGATGTTAAATACCCCCAGAGTTTGAGGAGAATCAGTTACCTTCAGTCAAGAACTACAGATCGAGGATAAAGCCAAAGGCACAGGCTCATCATTTACCTACTCAGCCACTACAGCTTCTTCTCTGTTGTCTGCTGTATCCCTGTATCCCTCACCCTTCCCTACACACACTCACTCTCACACTCTCTCTCACACACACACACACAGAAACAGAGAGAGAGAGAGAAAGACAGAGAGGGAGATAACAAGAGACACATACACCTACACACAGAGAAACACACACAGAAAAAAACTTCACACTTGCAACAATGCCAATCCTCTCCTAACTACTGTTCCCCAGGAAGCCTGAACCCCCGCCCTCCAGTGCATCACTCTGGCCTCTAGAAGCTATTTAACATAAACATCAATGGCTGGGCTTACTTATGATCTCTAATACATCTCTCTCCCCGACCTGATTCTTAAGTTCAGGGAGTCACAGCCCAGGACTTTCTACTTGCCTCCCCCCACTACATGTCAAGTCCAGTACTCAAAAGTGTTTACTGACTAACAGTGCAAAAGTAAAATCACACTCGAAGGGGCACCAGGCAACTCCAGGTGGCGGGGAATAGGGAGGTGGGTACAAATGTTCTAGGCCTCGATCTGGGGGTTGGTTATGGGTATATTGATTTGTCAAAACTCATCAACTATACACTTAACATACGTGCCTTTAAAAGGACCCACACCTACCTCTTTTTGCAGCTTCATGCAGTGGATTGTCAATGGATTCTGCCTGCTCAGCCACTGGTGGGGAGAAAAAGAGCACAAAGTTGAGGATGCCAAATAAATGGTTTCACTGGAGCCACACACTCAGCGGAAATGACAGATCCTCCTACAGTCCTCAAGCCAGAGATGATGTTTTGTTTTTTTTTTTTTAAAAAAAAATATATTTATATATATATCAGAAAGATGACATTGCCTGTTTCAAAAGAAGCTGAAATTAATGTTACCTGCCACAAATCAAGCAGTAAGCCAGTAACAGCAGTTAATCAGAAGACAAACAGTTGACCTGAGATTGCCAGTTTAGGACAAATCAAAAACACAAAGGAAAATCAGTGTCTCCCTATGAGTGTGCACAGGGAGCTGGGGAGGTGGAGGGGTTGTGGGGGAGTGTAGTCTGCTTCCTGAAAGGACCACAGGCCTCTAAAGAAAGTACATTCACTGTTGTCCACACAAAAGCTGTTCTTCAAACGCTACTTCCGGCAGGCCATCCCCTCATCACCATTCAAGGGCTGTATGGAGACCATTCCCTGAATATAAGGGAGGGCAGATGTGGTTCAAGTAGACTTGATGTCCTAGTGGTTATAGCACTTGGCTGCTAACCAAAACGTCAGCAATGCAAAGCCATCATGCATGCTGAGAGGGAACAATGTGGCAGTCTGCTGCCACACAGCTTCACAGACCTGGAAACCCCATCCTCTGGGGTCACCACAAGTCAGAATCCACTGGACGGAGGCGGGTGTTTGATTGTGTGGTGACTCACTCTCTCAAATACTCACTGGCATCAGGTAGGAACCAACTCATAGCAGACCCTGCAGGAGGTGCTCAGAGGCTGTAACACACATGGGAGGAGACTACATCTCTTTCTCCTATGAAGTTGCTGGTAGAGACAAAATGACTGCTTCTCTGCTGACAGGGCAACTCCTTACCCACTAGGTCACCAGAACTACTAGCAGGAAGATTTTGGCCTTCCTCATATAAGAAACCCTGGGGGCGTGGTGTATAATCGATCAGGCTACTCATTGAAAAGCTGGCAGTTCAAACTCACCAGCCAGTGCATGGAAGAAAGACATGCAGTCTCTTCCCATAACAAATGCCAGCTTTGGAAACCCAATGGAACTACGAATTGGAACTGACACAACAGCAGTGAGCTGTGTGGGGTTAAAGAGAAGATTCCCCGTCCCCACCCAAGTATGCCTCCTGCACAGCCACCAGCCATCTGACAGTGGAAAACTGTGCAGTGCTATGATGTTGGAACCGTTTCAGGGATGCTTCCTGACTAACAGACTTGGAAGAAAAGCCTGGCAACGAAAGAGCAGCCAATGAAAGCCTACAGATCACAATGGTCTGATCCCATTATGAATGCAGCACTGCCAAGCAGAGGTCAATTCTATGTCAAGTAACAACAAAGCAGCAAAGCCACAGGTTACTGTATCCATGTCCACAACTAAGTGGAGTGCTGGGTAAAGGTATGTTTTAGATTTCAAAGAGTTTAGGAACATCTAAAGTCTTGTTGATTGAAGACCACTGCACTGAGACTAAGACAGGTGAGGGCACTGGGCTCTCAAGCATTTTCTTCACTACTTTTTTTTTCCTTGTTGTGTGCTGTCAAATCAGATCCAACTGGCATGGGAGGAGATTGTCCCTTCTTCTCCAGCAGAGTATCTGGTGGATTCGATCCACATGCCTTCAGGATTGCAGTGCAGCTTCTTGCCACTAGGCTACCAGAGCTCCCTCACTATTTTCTAAACCCTCTCTACTGCTTGAGACAGTGCCTGACTCCAGGCCTACTGCTCTAAGGAGTGAGCTAATGCTAAAGCTCCAAGGAACCTTAGAAGAACCGAGATGTCAATCCCCTCACGACACAGAGAGGACACTGAGCCTCAGAGGCTCCAGTTGTAAGCATGCTCCTCTTCTGATAGGAAGTAGCCAAAAAGAGAATTAAAACTCGGGACCCCGTGTATCTTGTGCTCTTTTACTTTACTGAACTGTAAATATTTTTACTTTACCCTGCATAAATAATTTTGTCTGTTTCTCTTTCCACTACAAGCAGCTTCAGGGCAGAGACCAAGCTACGCAAACTGCAAAAATAAGCATTTAACGAGCATAGCTCCCCAATAAGTATTAACAACATTTAGTTTCTTCTCCTTCACAAAAGAAAGAGCTGTTTAATGAAACACTCTAAGATTTTGTGTAACAGCAAAAGGAAGAGAGAGAGATTTAGGCCTAAGATGAATGAAGCAAGATCACAAACATTTCCTTGGAAACACTGGTTTCTTTCAAAGCTGCTACATTCTTGAGATTGTGACGTTTACAAGCCAGAGTCAGCCAAAGAATCTTGTGTCCCTAGCTATTTTACCAACAAAAGACTGAAGGAAAGGGACATGTTCTGGATTGACAATGGCTCCATTCATTTACTTCACAGCCACAGCAGCATACAGGCAGGGCCTCTGGAAGCAGATAGGTGAACATGAGTGACATCTAGGCAAAGAGAAGCCAGCACCAAAACACTCACCATAGTTGCTTGGAATTAGCCCAGTTCTGCCTTTGCAAGTGCCTTTCCACCAATTGGTATCGCTCTAGAGGAAAAACAAAACACAACACAACACCAAGAAAACTTAAATTAAGTACTTAGTACTGAGTGCATTTTTACATTCAAATCACCTTTTAAACTATGTCATTTGGATATACTAAACAAAATACACCTTTGTCTGGTTCACATTGACCAATACTTCACTTATGCTGGCAAATCCACTTATCACTAAATTACAAATGCATATCAAGCTGCCTGCAACAAGTCACACACACACTTCATCCCAGAACTTCAACAGGTAATAACCATCAATCAGATTAGGGAAGAACAATAATCCAATTCGTTTAGATTAGATAAAGGATTCCCTCTCTCCCCTTTCCCCCACCCCCACTTCAGTATTTAAAAGTCTTAATTTCTCTTACCTCCTACATATTCTTTTTAGGAGGCGGAGGAGGAATCTTCTAAAACTTCTTTATTTCACTTTTAGGTTTCTGGAGTTGCTTTTTTTGAGGGGGCTGGCAATCATTATTTATATTTGTGTGTGTGTGTGTGTGTGTGTGTGTGTGTGTGTATATTCATATTCATATACACACATACACATACAAGGAGTGGCATCCACTTCATAAACAACATGCCTCTGGAAACTCTATGAACTTTAAAAACCAATAGTTATTGAAAGGTCTTTTGTTCATAGGGTCGCTATGGTACACAACAACAAATGTGTAAAGCCATTATCACTGTCTACTCCCAAACATTCATCAGCCCAACAAGAAACTACCCCTTAGGCAGGACCCCAATTCTTCCTCCCTATAGATCTCCTGGTAACCACTAATAAACTTTCTTCTCTGTAAATGTTCTGGCTATTTTTGGTTTGTCTGTTTGTCTGGCTTACTTCACTCAGTGTAAGATTTTCAAGGTGCATATATGTCACACCATGTACCAGAACTCCAGTTTTCTTCATGGCTGAGTAACTCCATTTTACAGACACAATGTATTTTGCTAATCCGTGCATTTCCTGATGCATACTTGGGTCGGTTCTACCTTTTGGCCATTCTGAGTAATGCAGCAATGAACATTATCCTTATGGGGTAAATACTTATTATGATGTTGTTGTTGTTGTTAAGTGTCGTCGAGTCAATTGCGACTCACAGTGACCCTATGTACAACAGCCCTAAACTCTGCTCTGCCCTATGCCATTAGCACTGTCTCTGATACACCCATCCCAATTACCCCAGTCACTGAATCAATCCACCTCATAGAGGGCCTTCCTCTCCTGCGCTGTCCCTCCACCCTACCAAGTATGTCCCTCTCCAAGGACCGGTCCCTCCTTACAACATGTCCAAAGTATGTTAGGGGAAGCCTCAGAATCCTTTCCTCCAAGGAGCAGCCCAGTTTAACCCTCTCCAGGATTAATCTATTTGTTTTCCTAGCAGTCCATGGTACTCTCAATACTCTTCTCCAGCACCACAGCTCAAAGGCATCAATTCTCCTTCTATCCTCTCTAGTCATTGTCCAACTCTCTGATGCATAACAAGTGGTTGCAAAGACCACGGCCTGTAGATTGCAAAGACGCACCTTAGTCTCCAGAGAGACACTATTGCTCTTCAGAACTTTGGAAACGTCTCTAACAGAAGATTTTGCCATCATAATACGTCTTTTCATTTCCTGGCTACTGGTGCCAAGAGTGTTAACTGTGGAGCCAAGCAAACTAAAGCTGTGAATAGTCTCAAGCTCTTCACCATCCATCCTGATGCTGCCAATTGGTCCAGTGGTTAGAATTATTGTCTTCTTGACATTGAGCCTCAATCCATATTGAAGCCTGCAGTCCTTGACCCTCTGCAGCAAGCGCTTCAGGTCCTCTTCACTTTCAGCAAGCAGGGTTGTGTCATCTGCATAACGCATATTGTTGATAGATCTTCCACCAAAATTAAATTTATACAGAAATAAAAAGAATGGTATAATGACCCTATACACATCTATGTCTTAACTGTATAAATTAATGCCACATTGTCAATCTTGTTTATATATCCATCTACAGCTTCTCTCCCCTCCCAAATTATTCTGAAATAAATTCTAGACATTATTTCATTGTAACTACAATATGGCATTATTCCCACTGGGTCATATTTGACCTCAAATACATCTCATAAACTTACTACATAAAAAAATTCAAGGTTTGTACTGTGAATCACAACAACATACAAGCAATACCTTGCAAAGCAAATTAGTATTATTACTATACTATTATGTTAAAGCTGTTTTAATGTATAGGGACATTTTTGTGTTATGTTTCTCAGGCAAAGTAGGGAGCTTTGGTGGCCTAGGCGATAAGGAGTTGCACTGCCAACTCAAAAGCATGTGGTTCGAATACACTAGCTGTCTGTGGAAGAAAGACGAGCAATCTCTTCCTGTGTGACTTACTGCTTCTGAAAACCTGCTGGAGAGTCAGCTAAGAGTCAGTTCCACCTCGAGGGTAGATATCAGCAATGCACAGAAAGATAAACTATAGGCTATAAGACAAACATCTAACTAAAATTAGATACAAACCTATCTCCCTGACTGATTCATGTATAAATAGAATTCATCTGCAATCTAGGAACTAACTGTATGTATAATACGGTGTTCATACAATGCCTAAATCCATAACGATCTACTTCACAGGTATGAAGTGAAACTTTACTATACTCAATCTATCACAATTTAAACTATTTTCCACAATTCCTAAATATTATTAAATATTTTTAAAATATCAAATATCTCAATCAAAACACAAAACTAAAAAAAAATAGTATTCCATTATTTGGGACCAAAGTACATTGTGATGGAACAGACTCTGTCTCTTAGGTCTCTTTAATTATATAGATCCCTCCTACATCTCCTTTTCTCTCTTTCTTTCTCTCTTGAAATATGTCTGTTGAAAAAGCCAGGTAGCTTGTTCTACAGTTTCCAACACTCTGTATTTTTCCCATTGCAGCTTTACATTGCCATTTAAACAGGTTCGTATATTCTCTAATTTGTCTATAATTTATTTGGAGCTTAGTTGTAGAGGCTTTATTAGATTCACATTCAAGTTCTTCCTTTATGGGAGGGGAAATGAAGTCTGTCCATTTTTTAAAATCAAACTATCCCACTGCCATAGAATTGAAACCAACTAAATTGCACAGGAGGAGACTATTTCTCACCCATAATAGATTCAAACCTACCCTCAGACGACCAGAGTTCCCCTCTAATGTCAGCAGCCATTGATAACTATCACTTGCATCTACTATGCTGTAAGAGTTACCAAATTGTGACACTGTAATTATCTTAATTCCTTCTTCATTTAAATAGTTGGAGTTTCTCTTCAAAGAGAAACTTCCCCTCATTTACTTGGAGATAAAATTTTCCTCAGTTACCTGGAGATATAATTTATGTGGAAAAGACAGAATAAATATCAACTCTTTCGTTTTTAAATAAAAAGTGGGTTTCTCAGCATTCTCTCAGGGTGAACAATAATGTTTTGTTGTTGCTATTTAAGTTGCTGTATTCGTTGTTAAGTGCTGTCGAGTCACCTGTGGCTCATAGTGACTCTAGGTACAACAGCCCTAAACCCGGCTCCATACTGTGCCAATCTCACGTTCTCCGACACACCTACCCCCATTACCCCAGTCACTGAATCAATCCACCTCATAGAGGGTCTTTCTCTCCTTCGCTGTCCCTCCACCCTCCCAAGCATGGCGTCCTTCTCCAAGGACTGGTCCTCCTTGCAACATGTCCAAAGTATGTCAGACGAAACTTCAGAATCCTTGTCTCCAAGAAGCAGCCTGGTTTAACCCTCTCCCAGATAAACTTGTTTGTTCTCCTAGCAGTCCATGGTATATTCAGTACTTTTCTCCAGCACAACTCAAAGGCATCAATTCTCCTTCTATCCTCCCTAGTCATTGTCCAGCTCTTTGATGCACAGCAAGTGACTGCAAAGACCATGGCCTGTATCAGGTGCACCTTAATCTCCAGAGTGACACCAGTGCTCTTCGATACTATGGAGAGGTCCCTAACAGCAGCCTTTCCCATCACAATACGTCTTTTAATTTCCTGGCAGCTGGTGCCAAGAGTGTTGATTGCAGAGCCAAGCAAACTAAAGCGGTTAAAAATCTCAGTCTTTTCACCATCCATCCTGATGCTGCCAGTTGGCCCAGTGGTGAGAATCTTTGTCTTCTTGACATTGAGCCTCAATCCATATTGACAACTGCAGTCCTTAACCTTCTGCAGCAAGCGCTTCAGGTCCTCCTCAGTTTCAGCAGCAGGGTTGTGTCATCTGCATAACACTGACTGTTGATGAATCTTCTACCAATTTTGATGCCACACTTCTCCTCATAGAGCCCAGCCTCCCAGATCATCAGTTCTGCATATAGGTTGAAAAGGTATGGAGACAGGATACAGCCCTGGCATATACCCTTCCCAATTTGGAAAAAAACTCTCATTGATTTAAACATACTTATGGTGTTTCAGCCTTTTTAAATTGTTCTCCTAACTGATGCTCAAAGGTCAAAGTCATTCTCTTGATTGATGCTCACAGTGTCCCATCTTTGGTCAGCAGGAGTCCCTTTAATTCCTAACTGCTTCCAAATGTGACCCTACTCTTCTCTGGACCTTTCCTTGCTGACCAGTAGTAACACAATGTCCTGGGCACAGACTTTGCAATGCCAGACTTAGTATCAATCATTTATCAAAGAAACTTTATTCCTATTCCTAGCAAATCACCTATTATTGGGTGATAACTTTTCCTAGGCTTTTTCAGAGGACAGGAGCAAGAAATACTTTGGGGGGGTTTTAGGTAGAATGCATCATAATAATTCCAATTATAAAAATTATACATTTTTTAACTTAATTTCATCACGTCTGTTCTTAACTCCTTTCTCTGACATGAAGAATCCGTTTTCAACATCACTACTTAAAGATTCATTTTCTCTAAACCACAATACACATGTAACAGTCTCAGAAGAGCAGTACCAACATTCTCTCAACAAGATCATGACTAAAACAGTTCACATTTTTGGGGGGTAGTGCATGGGTGTTTTATCTATCTTCATATAAAGCATTTTGGGGTTAAACAGTCACATTATGGAATTGTGAAATCACTTGAAATTGCTTCTCTCTTTGTGGTTATGCTACATACTGAGGTACTAGGTTCAGTCTTACTGTTTTTAGATTTTAGATATTGTTTTTTACAGTTTCATTTCATGACAGTGTTGTCATAGCCACATAACATTCCATGCATTAATACAACAATTTTATTTAAGTATGTTCCTCATGATGAAAAAGATATGGGCCACTCCAGTTTTATGCTGTTTCAGATTACAAAGAATCAAACACTCATGTATGCTTATTTCTGTAATATACACTACCATGGCTATATGTAACAGTCTTATTTTGGGCAACTTTTATTTGTATATGGCACTGCCAAATGTCTGAACTTACCATGTCAGTGATGTAGATAATGTCTCCTTCTTCAAAATACAACTCATCTGGCTGTAAGAGAAAGAAAAAAAAAGTGTGATTTTTTCCATGGGTTAGTATCTGTCTCTGTGTGTGTGTACAAAATTATAGTAGTAATTAGTAATTACATGTATTTCCAGTCACAAAGTAGCTTTCTAGAAAATATTTGATGTACTTTTATCAGCACATATATATCCAATATCTATTATAATAATAATAGCTCTGGTGGCCTCGTGGCAAGAAGCAGCGCTGCAATCTCAAAGTCATACTGTTCAAGGCCACCAGCTGCTCTGTAAGAGGATGGGCAATCTCCTCCCGTGCAATTAACTGCCTCTGAAAATCCACTGGGCAATCAGCTATGGGTCGGTTCTGATTCCATGGCACTCAACAACTACAAACAATATATCATAACATAAAAACATATTATGTTTTTTATAATATTTTATGCAAAAATTGAATAAGAAAAACTTTTTTTTTCCAAACTGTATAAGAAAAAACGACAAGAGTTGTGGCTTTGCCTCTGACCATGGCAATTCCACGTTGTGTCTGAGTTGAGGGCACTCCCCAGGACTTTAAAGGCTGATTTTTCAGGAGTCAAACTGCCAGGCACATCTTCCAAATGCACCTCTGGGTAGACACAAATGACTAACCTTTCAGTCAACTGTCTTAACTATTTGAACCACTCAAGGATAAACATGCATATAAAACTGAATTATTCTTTTGATGAACTTCAAAAAGAATTATGTATCTACCAAAATCATCTTCACACACACATACACACACGGACAGAAGCATCTAACACTTCCAAAATGAAAAAAAACTATTTTATGATAAAGTATCAATACAGTCTCCTCCTAGGAAAGATCCCTTAAAATAAAATACATCAATTTTTCCAAAAAAAAGAATGATCTAGAACTAAAATCATGAGTGCTAGCCAGACATTTGTCTGTCTCCCAAAATCTGCTACCTTGTTACTTTGAGAAAGCCATTTGTCTCCTCATGTTCAGAGAAGGAAAGTTTCATAAAGGGGAATAACCAGTCCATTACAGAACCATTTGTTGTTTTTTTTTTGTTGTTGTTGTTTTTTAACTTGTTTATGAACTATGGAAGTTTATTTTGCTCTTAGGATTTAGAATCCTCTAAATTTAAACTATTATTATTATTTCCTTTTACATTTTTATCCTATAACTTTAAATTTTGTTGTTTGCATAAAAACATCAAGCAAGCATTATGCTTAATAATAATATATGAGCACAATTAATTAAAAGTGCTATTAGTCCTTTAAAACAAAAGAGAGTAAAAGAATACCACTGACAGAAGTCAAACCTAAATTCCTACAGTTAACCAACAGTTATCCCCAAATATTATCATTTATGAATCCATAAATCCCATTATATGTAAATTAGTTCTTTTACACATAGAATTTATTACAGCAAGACAATAAGCTGTAGTGCAGATTTTACTCTTGGGGAAAAAAGTGTTTTGTGGTCAAATTTATTCAGGAAATTTCCTGCACAGTATACACTTCCTACAGTTTATAGTTAACATTGTTGTTATCTCACATTGTTATGTATCATCATGTCAGAATTGACTTATAGCTGATCCTCAAGCAGGTTTTCAGACACGGTATATTGCTCAGGAGAAAACTGCCCATCTTTCTCCAGTGGAGTAGTGGGTGGGTTCAAATTGAGTCTCTTTTTGGATTGGCTGTGTAACTCCTTATATTTAAGCCACTAGAGCTCTCTGTAATTCATACTAGTATGTGAAAGACTATGTAAAGGTGTTATTTACCGAAGAAACCCACTTAGCTTAGTTTTCCCTAAATTTAATTAATACCTTCACCTACTTGCCTCTCTACCTTTCCCATCTTTCTTGTTTTAAACTGCGTGTATCTGTTATCTTCTCAAAGAGTAGCCTATAGATACTGCTAGAGTGGAAGGAATACTACTCAAAAACCAGGCAGTCTCAAGTCTTGATAAAGTGAGACACAAGATAACTTTCCTGTTCTTAGTGAACTTCTTCTCAGAATGACTAAATCTAAACAACTGAAAATTTCTGTAACAGACTGATAATTAATTAATACTTCAAGTAAAAGAGAACAAAAAAACAAAACAAAAACAAAAATCTTAACCAAAAAACAAAACAACACAAAAAACCAGCACAAGGCTGAAATAGTATGAATTGTCAAGTTGATTGTACCAATGAATAAGCTCAACCAATTGTTTTAAAATGAATAAGTAGGTTAGGTTAAAGATGGATAATTGCTCATGGAAAACAAAATAATCTTTGTGTTAAGAATTATCTTCATTTCACAGAAAGATAAATTGAATCTCTAAATAGTAAGTGCTTTATCCAAAGATAATTGCTAGGATGAGAGTAATGTTAAGCAAACTTCTTAATCAAAACCAAATACATTGATGAAATTAGTTTGATTCTGAAACCTTAGAACCACAGTCTTGGGAAACATCAAGTTCAATAGACATAGTCCACAAAACTAATATGCTACATTCTCCTTTGTTAACTAAAGACAAGGATCTTAATATTTGTGAGCAGCCATCTAATATGCAACTACTGATATTTTCCTATCTGGAACAAAAATGAGGGAAGAAAAGCAAAGATGCACAGAGCTAGTTCACTAGAATCATAATTTCCACAACTTGGAGATCAGAACTATATGGTACCTTCATTTAATTGCTGACCACTCTAAAAGGGATAACAGTAGAAGATCCAAGATAGAGCAGAGGAAAATATGAAAGAAAACTAAAAGGAAAAAAAAAACTAACCAAAAACCCCCAAAACATAAAAAGGCCTAACTTACTGGTCAGAGACTTGTGGAACCCCCCAAAACTATGATTCTTAGAACCATTTGTAAGGCTGAAGAGCTGAAAGAAAGCAAGCCATTTACAGACCATCAACATGTCCAAGAGTCAGTTATCTGCTCAGCCTTGAACCAGCCAAATGTCCTGAAACTCTCTGAATAAAGTCTAAACATTTTAAAAAACAAAATAATAAGTTTTAAACAAATTTAAAGCAAAGATCTTTTTACCATCAGGAGATAACTCCCATATGACATTTTAAGAAAACCAGAATGTTGCTAATTTTAGATATGAAAAATGCTTATGTTGTAGGACTCAATGAGAAAACAGGGTACAGTATTTCATAAGAGCATAATTATGGTTAAATATGCAAGGATAATTTCCCAAGCTATCATCAGCATATATTATTTTCATACTTATGGTGAGGAAAATAGCCTTTTCAAAAAAAAAGTTTTTGATATCTTCTAATTATAGCATTGTTCCAAACAAGTAAATATTATACCAGTGAAGTAAATTCTTTCATCTACTCATTCTATTTATTTACTCCTAGGGGCAAAACTGGGCAATAAAAATTTATTCAACACTGGTAATTTACTTAGTGTCAAAAATGGTCTACTTTATCCCTTTTTCCCCCTGAATATAAATAAAGACTGTATCTATGCTTCCTGTAACCACACACAGCACATGAATATTCAGATGTATTGTGTATTCAAAATTATCAAATGATGATTAATGCTATCAAGTTATGGTATATTGTAAAGACAAGCCAAGTTCCTGGAGAACTGAACCCATTTACAGTTTAATTTACAGATCCTAGACGTATATAAAGGAGCTCTGGTGGCATCATGTTTAATGCACAGGGCTGCTAGCCAAAGGTCAGCAGCCCGAATCCAGGATGGGCAGTCTTCTCCAGTACAGATTTACCACTGCAGCAATGCCATGGTGGGTCACAATGAGTCAGATGCAGCTCAACAACAGCGTGGTTTTACTTATATAAAAGGCCTGGGGGGGTTGCAAATTGTTAACATAGTTGGCTAAAAAGGTACTGGTTCAAGTCCTCTCAGAGGTCCCTTGGAAGAGAAGTCTGGCAATCTTCTTTATATCAGCCTTTGAAAACCCTGTGGGACACAGAACCCACTGATATACATGGGCTGTCATGGGTCAAAATTAACATGATTGCAACTGGTAGACTTACACATAGCAAAACCTCTACAATATAGTTAAAACCTCAAAGACTTGTTGACTTAAATTTTAATATTATTTGAAATAGGATTTTAGGAGAAAAAGTAAAGGTGTCCAGTATTATCTCTAATTTGATTTCAAAATGGTCATATGATCCATGATCAGTATTACTACTAGCATGTTATGAATATAGAAAGTGATTAGACAAAGTGTTGCCTTGAACAGCTCTCTGCTGCAAAGCAGCCCACTTCCAATGTGAGGCCAGAACGAACTCGCTCTCCCACCACAGCCTTCCAGCTGCACAGAGCATCAGGAACTTCACAGGAAAGTGGGAGACTTCAATAGCAGTTCACCCTCTTGTCTTTAATGGCTGACTCGATTGATGGCAGTTATCAAGGAATAAGAGGGAAGAAAGCAAGCAGGACAATGGAATAAGGAAAATGTGGTTTGTGTGGCCACTTTTTCTTTGAATGGCTCTGAAATTACCAGAGTTTTGGAAGAATTCAATGTCTTACAAAGACTGCCCTTATTCTGTATTTCACCAAGAGCTAAACGCAGCCATTTATGTCTCACAACGAATCTTCTTCAATTAGTGCTTCACTCAGAAAGGTTCATGATATGTCTCCCAAGTTTAAGCTTGAAGACACAAATCACAAAATCCTAAAATCACAAAAAAGCCAAGTTTGCCTCAATTTCAATATTGAGTAAGTTTACTCACTCTTGAAACAACAACAACAACAAAAAAAGAACAATCTAGTGTAAAAGAAAAAAATACAGCTTAAGAAATGAATGTGCACACATACACTGTGACTTGCTTTTCTCAGAAAAAAAGTAATAAAGCCAATAAGAAAAGTTAAAATGCTTAATGTCGTAAGTAATTGCTGGCCTTCGTGATTTGGTAAAGTGCCTCGTGGAAATGTCACCGAGCATGGTCATTCCGAAGCCGTTCAGTGCTGCTTCAGTTGTAAGGTAATGGCTGCTGCTCACAGTGGTATCTGCCACAAGCCAACATTAGCTCAGACTTGGTGTTCAGTGAAGACAACAGGGAAGTCTATTTTAGTCAGGTAAAAAGACGTCATCCTGAGAAAAGACTTAAGTGAGTTTATTCTTTTTTAAAATCGATAACTCCCAGGCACACAGTGCTATTATTACCTGTGAAATACCTACTTCCAAAGAAAGTGGGGCCAGTTTTTCCTGGTCTAGCTATGAAGATGATCTACCAAATTCTTCATATTATCAGTGGCAGTACAAAAAATGCAATAGTAGTGGGATTATAATAAACTTGGATAGATTTTTTTTACCTATAATATTCACATCACATTAAGGACACCTAATGTCAATTATTCAATGAGGCCCTCGTTTTAAATTTCTGGCATCATATTCATGGAACAGAAAAAGGGAGAGAGCAACTCAGTCACATCAGCACTTCCTAATTTCCAGTTTGTCCTTTGGTTTCTAACCACTTTCCTCTCTCTTTGAAGAACCACAAAGGTTCCACCACAGGCCATCCATGACCACTGGAATGTCAGAGTCAGGAGCACAAACACGGCCATGTGTATGTCCTTACTATGTATGAATTTTGTTGGTTATGCAAATCTATCTTTTAGGAATGATTTAGAAAAACTGAGGTACAGTTTTCAAATTCTTCAGAATCATCCATCTAGAATCCAGAAAAATGCATTAAAAGAGAAGATTCTGTACAGAGGTTTTTTAAAGAACACATTCACAATGGCTTATGATGTGCCAGGCACTGGTCTATACTTTTAAAAATACTCTTTAATTCCTCCTCAACAATCCTATAAAAATACCAAGTAGGCGAGCTCTGGTGGCCTAATGGCAAGAAGCTGCACTGCAATCTCAGAGGTATACGGTTCAAATCCACCAGATGCTCTGCTGGAGAAGGAGGAACAATCTCCTGTATCGGTCAGATCTGATTTGACGGTACACACAAAAAAATGAAATAAAATAAAATTTTTAAAAAAATACCAAATAAACAAGTGCACAAAAACCCCTCGCCTGCTGCTGAGTGAATTTCACCTCCTGGTGGCCCTGTGGATGTGGCTCTCAGACTGGACCTCTGAGCCACAGGGCTTTTAATGGCTGATTCTTCAGAATAGGTCAGCAAGGTAGAAATCACCAGGCTTTCTTATAGCAATTAAGCATGTTAAATTTTTGTAACACTCAGAGACTTCACAGTCTGTTGTTGTCTTTGTTGCTTACCAAGCTGGAACCGAACCATAGCTGACCCTCCAGCGGGTTTTCAGAGACAATAAATCGCCTGGGAGGAGACTGTTCACCTTTCTCCCATGGAGCAGCTGATGATTTCAAACCTCCTGCCTTTGGGATTGCAGCGCAGTTTCTATGAGGTGGGTACTATTCTCATCCCCATGTTACATAGACAAGGAATTTGCCTGTGGCCACACAACCAGTACAGGGTAGAATGTGCACTTAAACCAAGTCCACCCCCTACGCTACACCCCCTACAGAGGGGGGTGCGTGGGTATGCTCATCATGGTGGCCATGGTGCATGACCAGGTTAAGAGCTAAGCTGGTGACCGTGGATGTCACTCTCTCACAGCAGCACCTTGACTGCCTTTGATCTTTACAACAACCCATTAGACAGGGCTGAGTTACAGGCCTTATCTCCATTGCACAACCAGGCCCAGAGAGGTTGAAGAACTTGTCCTACTTGACAAAGTTCAGTGGCTGAAAGGCTGGGCTCCCATTTGAGCCTCTGGTATGAGTCCAGAGCTCCTTTTTCTACACATGGTGCTACAAATCTATACATGGCTCTACAAATCTAGCAATGCTCAGCAAACACTCCAGGAGTGGAACAAGGTCCGGTGGCTTCCCTCTAGTGCTCTCCCACCTCCAGCCACGGTAAATGCTATTCTCTCCCCATCGGACATCTTCACTAACTGGGTCTAGCCAGTCCACCCAGGTCTCTGCATGATGCTGGTACTGAATGGGGTACGGGAGAGAGGGCAGGGACTAAACAGGGCTCAGATGTGCCAAGACTACCTCACCTTCCAGCAAGACAGACAGAAAATGGGTCTGTGGTACATTCACACCATGGAATACTATACAGCACTCAGGAGTAATGATTTCTAAAAAATACTGTATGAGAGAGGCTGGAGAGCAGTATGCTGAGTAAACTCAGTCTCATGAGGACCATCCCGCATAAGACCATAACTGTAAAAACTGAAGGATAATTAATAAGACGTGGGTAAAAGTCCAAAGGAAGATGGGGAGGGGAGGAGAAAGGCAGAAGGTGGGAGGGAGGGAAATAATGGGGTTGCAGAGTTTGGTGGGCAGAGGGGAGGGAGGTCCTGAAGGAACTAGGATAGATCTTGTAGGGACCTGAAAAGATAGGGTGGCAGACAGTGGGCACAGAACAATGAGGATTAATTTTCTAAAACACAGTGTATGGGACTCATAAAATAAAATGAGAATGAAGGAATGTGTTAAACACAATGTACATGAATGAAACAATGTATACAAATACTGTATGCAAACTAATATAAAAAAGTTTTTAAGTAAAAAAATAAATAAAATAATGGGCTGTCAAGAAGCAGGAGTCCCAGGTGCCCAAGGCAGGGTCCACACGGCTGTCCCGGGATGCCGCAGCTGTCAGCCATGGCTCCAACGAGGCCAGCTTGGCCCTTTGTTTCCTGGTGCTAATGACTGAAGGAGCCACAAAGTGTGAGATACACAGGTGTAACTCGTGTTACTGCACTTTGCTTTATTGTGCTTCATAGAGACTGTAATTTTTTTATATAGGTAT